GAGAGAGAGAGAGAGAGAGAGAGAGAGAGATAAAGGGTAGCCAACAATAAGTTAAGCGCCACTTAAAGTCTGTCTCTCTTTCTCTCCAAATAGACATTCCTCTCACGACTTAAACACTCAATGAAAATGAATAGAAATTTTCAATAAATCAGTAATAGATTTGTCCGACACTTTCAAAAGACACTCGCAATACAATAGAAATTCAATTTTTAAATAACCTTTTTTTAGCATGATTGAAAAACTTATTTTGCATTTCTATTGTGGTTATAATTAGCGTGCATAGGGCTGGAGGGCAAACACCGGTATGTATGACCGTTTGAATGGACACAGCAAACTATTTAGGTAATGCCTAGATCACTCAATTTTCAATTTGTTTTCAAACTCAACACTTGTCTTTATTGACCACAAATATAATATAGATATTTATTATGTGTATTAGTAAAACACCATAGAGTTTATTATTTATCATGATGTTTTTGTGTAATTTTGTGCTGTGTATTTGTGCATTGGTAACTATAAGTGCTCAGTCATTACAGCCGGTACTTAATTTTACCGACATTGATCAACACATGACAACAATAACCAGTGATCAAAATGTGCCCGATATAAGTGATATCTATAAAAACATTTCACTTACATTAAAAATAAGTAATAATTACAACACAGATAGTGATATCACTGGGACTGAGACAAGTGATGATCAATTTGTGACACAAACTACACCCCGATTAGTAACCCAACGGACAATTAACGCTAATTTAGACCGTAATTCAAAGTATATATCGGAAACAAACAAAAATACTAATAATCATGATAATATTGATCACGATTATTATGCAAACTATAATAAAAATCCAGAATATTCTGTAAACGACACCGATTCTAGTGATGATGAATATTATGATGATGATAATCGTGATTCTAAAAATGACCAATCTCCTTTACACCGGGTGTTGGCAGAGGTGCTTCAGAGGGCCGGCCAGTCGGCTAATGATACGGCCCGACACATGACACCCGACCAACAGTTTGTCGATATGATTGAAATGATTAAAAAGTTATACAATATTGTGGCCCAGGATTTGACGCCAGTATTGATGACAGAGATACTGACGGCCAACATATCGATGGACTGTATGTCCGGTTTGGCCAAAGCGTACGGCGCTCTCATCAATAACGAGCAGTGGGTCTACAAAAGTATGTGTTTTGATAATAAGTTATTTTAAATAATCATTATTTATTAAACTTTTATTAATTAAAACTATTTAATAAATTTAGTATTAGTAAAATACTAGAAAATTAATAAAAATAAATTTATAGTATAACTAGTATGTTTTGTAAATTTATTTATAAATAAAACTTCTCACTGATGTTAAGTTTATATAATACAATATAAAGTATTAGCATACAGTATTAGCACATGTAAAATAAATAATAATTAGCATATTTTTTACTTTGTTATTATATTTACATTAATATAACTAGTGTTGGACTCTAACGGACACTTGCCATCTGGTCTAATGAGTGGTACCTTAACATCATTTGGCAATTATGACCAATGCCTAAGTGTCAGGACCGGTACCGGAACTAATCATATGACCGGCCAATATTGTTTGGTACACATCAAGCCCAAATTGCCAGACAAGCCTCACGTGGTCACATTTAACGATAGGTTAATTAACCTAAACTCAAGTCAAATGCATAACACTTGGATCGACAGCTATGTTGTGACAAATCTGTTTAATTTTTACTACTTTTCAATCGTTAACGGCATATGCGTGCCGTCCGTATGCACTCAATACGATCTGGAAGTTATGGCCAATAAATGTAAGTTTTTCCAATTTTTCCCAATATTTTGAATACCGTTTTAAACACTACTTTATTTCTAGATTTACACGCGTTTCACGCGGTGGTCACTGTAGATAATTGTGCGGTATATAACCCATCAGCAATTAGCCAACTTGATTATGGTCAAACAGTGGCCCTATGTGTATTATGCACATTTCTAGCTATATCAATACTGGGCACGTTAGTAGACCTGGTGTTCATTGGCAATAGAAAGGTTAATAATATTTGTTTAAAAGTTGCGATAAATTTTTCTATTAGTAAAAATGCTGCTCAATTTTTTAACACCAATTCATCGGGGGCCGATCACCGAATCAATTTAAAATTTATATCCGGCGTGAAAGTGATCTCGATGATTTGGATTATCGTAGGCCATACTTATATCTCCGGCGCTTTGTATTTTAATCAACTTATACCGACCGCAAATCTTTACGGTAAATTTAAATTTTTAATTTAACTTTAATTTTAAAATTTAATCATCTAAAAATTACACAAAAAAACTAAATTAAATTATACAACAGTAAACAATTATTTTACTATGATGTTTTTTCTAGCCTCTAATCTGGTGGACACAATGAATTTGCCCAAAAAGTTATCGACACAAATCGTGATCAACGCCCTGTTAGCTGTCGACACTTTTTTCTTTGTGTCCGGCTTTTTAGTTCTGTATTTGAGTTTTACAAAAATCAAACAAAACAAACGTGATCTCAATTTTTGTTCATACGCTATATTGAGATGGATTAGGTAAATTTATATTAGAATATTATTATTGGTTTCATTATTTATGTATAATATTTCTATACAAACATTTTCTTAATTAATAATCATGATAATCTATTAACAAGATTGTCTATATTATTTAACACTAATTGTAAATCTAACATAATCTGTTTTTGATTAACATAGGTTTTCACCACTTCTAATAGCAGTTATATCACTCAATCTACTATGGCCTAAACTAGGATCAGGGCCATTTTTCCATCATAATTACATTAAACATGTGACCGACCCGTGCTATGAGAACTGGTGGCAAAATTTACTGTTAATCAGTAATTGGTACCCGCCAAACGACCAAGTATAGTTTTAAAATTGTTAAATTAATTATAAGATAGATTGACAATTTGATAATTTTATGAAGTGCCTAATTCATACATGGTATTTGAGCGCCGATTTTCAATTTTATATCGTGGCGTTTATAGTGATCAAGATCACATTAAAAAGTATCAACCTGGGCATTATAACAAC